TGTAATCGGGTAATTTGTATGGGGTAAGGGTAAAAGGTAGGGTAAAGGTAGGCTCTTTGCTTTTAACCTTTTACCTTACCTGCTGAAGGGTAAAAGGTAGGATAGAGTGATTGTATTGTGGTAAGGTAAAAGGTAGGGTAAAGGTAGGCTCGTTGTTTTTACCTTTTACCTTACCTGCTGAAGGGTAAAAGGTAGGATAGAGTGATTGTATTGTGGTAAGGTAAAAGGTAGGGTAAAGGTAGGCTCGTTGTTTTTACCTTTTACCTTACCTTGCCGAGGCCTAGCGATGACCCCGGGGCTGGACCAAGACTATGTCGCTCGGCCGGCCTGGGAAAGCTTGGGAATTCGCCAGAGAAAGGGAGACCTGGACCGCCCTACTCAGCATGCTGCCACCGCGACCCTCACCAGGACAAGCGTTTTTAGATACTAATGAACAAAGCTGTGATTCTTCTTGGCCACAGATATTACTCTGTGGATGCAAAATATGAACTTGTTTAAATTATCATCTGTGCTGGCTTCTACAATGAAGGCTGGCCTGCCTATGATTCATCCTCTATTCAACCAGACTCTATTGTATTAGAAGCTTACAGATCCTTAAGATAACAATATAGAATATAATCTTAAGTCTCTTTGGCAGGCGAGGCTGCATTGGTTCGGTCATGAGTCCCGCATTCCCAGACACTGCATGCTCAAGCAGTTTTTGTTTGTCCAGATATTTGGGGCTGAACAGGCATGGCATTGGTTAGAGAAGAGATTGGAGGATGTTGAGGTGATCGGACCTGCTGATGACTGGTGCCAGGAGTGAAGATCGGCCTCTGTTGGGGAGGCCCGTGAGATATGCTGCAGGGCAGTTAAGACATATTTGCTCTGCAACAACGATGAGGTCGTAAGAGCGATGCCCACATTGTTGGGTGGAACGATGGGTTCCTAACACCCAGCAAGACAGTGGGGAGCACAGCTGGTTCATCTGTCAGTCATCCCTTGACACCTGGATCATTCCAATTACCTGCTGACAAGGAATCCACACTTAGTTGGCCTCAAATTGCACGTATCATGGCATTAGCACTGTGATAAGGTTACTTCCAATTCGTCATGAATGGTGAATATCTTATTCATATTCTTAGTTTTTTCCGGTAAAGTCACGTTGAAGAGAAACAACAAAATAACAAAATATATATAAAACAATAAAAATTCTCACGACGTTTCGACCATAACTCAAACGGTCATCATCAGGTGTGTCGGTTTGCATAAATTTATTTTGAAAACGGCATATTTATTTATTTATATAAAATAACGTTTGCGTCACGCGCAACGATTGGCTGTTTGCCAGGACTAGTCCATCTATTTTTTGAAAAGAGGAGGGGGGAGACGAAATTTGTTTTTATGTATGCTGTCTGAAAGCCACTGTAAGCGTGAACAATCAATCAAGAACTGAAATGATTTATCAAATCTTTCCAATGATTGCTAAGATAGAATCCATCTTCTCGGTTGAAATTGTCTCTGTGTTTGTATATGTGGATAGCCTCATGAACGAATCTCTCATGGAAGCCAGATGGCTTACAAAGAACCTCCGTCTTGGAAAAGTCAATGGCATGTGAGCCTACTGAATTAGAACAATGATCTGCTACGGCCGAGGTGTTGGTCCTACCGTGTTTAAGGTCTGCTTTATGTTCACGAATGCGGTCCGAGATATGGCGTTTGGTTTCTCCAATGTAACTACTACCACAGAGGCAACTTAGTTTGTAGACACCAGGGTATTGTATGTCCGGAATCACATCTTTTACAGACGGAACCAGATCACGGATTTTATGTAATGTGTTGAAACGGACCTGGATCTTGTGTTTATTCAAGATTTTGGAGATCTTTTTTGTGATCCCAGCAATGTAGGGTAAAGTGATGGTTTTGAAAGGCTCCTCAAGAGGGTTCTTCTTCATGGTTTGAGTGATAGCTTTGCGGATTGTATAGTCGGAGTAACCATTAGCCCTAAGAGCTTGGTGTACGTGCTTGAGTTCACTGCTTATGTGTTCCTGGTCGGATATGCATTGGGCTCTATGATACAGAGTCTTGATGAGAGAATTCTTCTGTGATGGATGGTGGTGGGAATCCGGTTTCAGATAAGCATCCGTATGGGTAGCTTTCCTGTAGACAGAGTGGCTCATTGAACCATCAGGTCTCTTTTTAATTAGGACATCCAAAAAAGGTATCTTGCCATCTATTTCGACTTCCATGGTAAATCTGATGGCTGGGTGTATGGAATTGATGTGGTCGAAGAATTGGTCTAGAGCAGGCCGGCCATGTGGCCAGATGACAAAAGTGTCATCCACGTACCTCTTCCATAAGGTTGGGCGCAGAGTGGCAGTCTGGATGGCGTCAGTCTCAAATTTCTCCATGAAAATGTTAGCTATAACTGGAGAAAGGGGGGAGCCCATTGGGGTGCCCTCAGTTTGTTTGTAGAAAGTTCCATTCCAAGTGAAGTATGTATTGGTTAAACAGTGTCTCACCAGGGGGGGTACCTCAGTGTTTAGTCCTTGATGAACCAAGTCTTCAATGATTGCAATGGTGTCAGGTACAGGAACCTTGGTGAATAAGGAAACTACATCAAAACTGACAAGCAGGTCGTCTGGGGACAGGGAAATACCCTTGATTGTTGATACCAGGTGAGTAGAATTTTGTACCGCAGAGGTGGTCTTTCCAGTGAAAGGACGCAGGATTTCAGACAAAAAACGAGCTAGTTTGTAGGTGGGGGAGCTGATAGTAGAGACTATGGGACGAAGAGGTGTATCAACTTTATGTATTTTTGGTAAGCCGTATAATCTTGGTGGCCTGGCAGCAGAAGGTTTCAATGAAAACTGTTTAGATTGATCAATTAATGCGGTTGAATCAGAAATTATTTTGTTGGTTTGTGTGACGAGGCTGTTGGTGGGATCTCTTTTTATTTTTGTATAACTACCATCGTCGAGTAATTCTTTAATTTTGTTGTTGTATTCTATTTTATCCATGATAACAGTAGCATTGCCTTTGTCAGCTGAGAGAACTACAATATCATTCCTCTTTTTTAATTTATATAATTCAAAACGCTCATTTTTGCTGAGGTTGCTAGCTGGCATCTTAGCGTTTTTGAGGGTTGCAGCGATTTCAGATCTTGCTACGTCTGCAGCGATGTGACCCAGGCCCCTGAGAGCAACGTCTACTTGGGCAATTATATCATTAACTGGTATGTGTTTAGGTGTGACTGCAAAGTTTAGACCTTTAGCTAAAACGGATTTCAGACCATCGGAAATAGAACTGTTACTGCGATTAATTACGACTTTATTAACGTCTAACTTTTTGGTGTGTGGGTCCGGTCTTTTGTTGAATAGGAGGTTAAATTTGGAAATCAGGTTTTCCTTACATTTGGTCGACATAGTAGCAGCTGAAGAGGCAGTCATATTGTCTACATGTTCCCAATCCGATGTGGACATTATTGCCGTCAATGATAAGTGTGATTTGTAGAGTGTCTTGTCTAACTGGTGAATATCTTGTTTATATAATACTAGCAGGAAGTACCCTGCGTTGCCCAGGGGAAAAATATATTTAAAAACTTATCAACTTAAAAACATGACATATACAAATGAAAATAAAACTTTGATCATTACTTCATGAATTAAAATAAAAAAATAAAACCCAACGTGCGGTGGGAAAAAAAACATACGCTGCGAACGCCAAGATTCGATTCTTTAAATCGCGCAAAAGAATTGAAGGTTGTAGATTTCTTTAGAATCGGCCTATTCCTGTTTAATCGATACCACAAATGCTCACCAGATATCGATTCTCGCCAGTCCTGTATGCGGGTTGACGCCACACAATTAATTGTCATTCCCTCCCCTACCCCCCACAAAATACAAAGTCTATTTTTATACTTGTTGCACTGTGTACAGTCTGGAAACTACCTACATGTCAAATTTCAAGTTTGTTGCATGTCGGGAAGTATGCTAAACATTTCAAACAGACACACATTCACAAATTTCCCTTTTTATATATATAGATGTTAATGATCCATGTGAAATGTATGTGTATTTAAGAGTTTTGCTTTGTGGGGAGCTGTCGCGCAGTTATTTAACTGCATTATGAACTCAACAATTAGTTTGATTATCGCTGACAGCAAACATGATTGATAAGTGAAAGTTGAACTTATTTTGGGCCTCTGTTATCTTGGTTGGTCTTACATTTATTGCATGATGCCGTGAGGAAGCATGAATACTGAGCTGATGAAGGCGGGCCAGGCATGGTTCTGGACACACCACCACCTTTTTACCATGCCAGTGTGTGACAGTCTCAAGTTTGTATTTGCAGAAAGTATATTAACTATTGAACATGGCGGTTAAATCAAAACAATAGTTTATTTTTTAGTTTCCCTCGAACTTTTTGTAAGAATGGAAACAGTCAGGAAATTAACACAGCACATATGGAGTTGAAGTTAGGTTTGTTCATCCGAGCATTCAAGCAAATCTGAGCCTGGCTTCACACCTCTAAGTTGCGATTCAACATTCATTTATGCATTTATGCATAATACAAATAGTATTATTTTCAACAGCCTTTGCTCTGTTAGCTGAATTTCTGCTTTTATAAATATTCTTTTTGCAGCCAGGCAGCCGAAATTGTGTGCTTGGTGTTTTGGGTTAACTTTTTTTCAAGATACTAGGGCTTCCAGGCATATTTATAACCATTTGCCCTCTCATTGTGTGCCTTAACAGGCCATGTGATGAATTGGGGAATATCTTGATTATATGAATAAGTATAGACATGTAAGTCATGTGTGACTGTGTATATATTAATTAATCTGTGCCTTGATACTGATGCAGATGGTGTCGATATTTTTTTCTGTCTGCAGCTGAAGCTTCTTTTGACGCTTCCTCTGCAGAATTGGTCTGATGGAGCAAAGGCACTCAGCGCAGCTCGGTACAAAAAGACAACAATGCGACCAGTATGCAAAAAGCACGGATCGTACTGGAAATTTGACACAGCACCAGAGAACTCCAACAGGAGAGAAACCCTTCAAGTGCACTGTGTGTGAGAAGGCATTTGCAAAGTCATCAGTTCTTCAGAGACACCAGAGAACACACACAGGAGAGAAACCCTTCAGGTGCACTTTGTGTGGGAAGCCGTTTGCAGTGTCATCACATCTTCAAAGACACCAGAGAACACACACAGGAGAGAAGCCTTTCAAGTGCACTGTCTGTGAGAAGGCATTTGCATGGTCATCAGGTCTTCAGATCCACCAGAGAACACACACAGGAGAGAAACCCTTCAAGTGCAGTGTGTGTGGGAAGACATTTTCAACTTCATCTAGTCTTAAACAACACCAGAGAACACACACAGGAGAGAAATCCTTCAGGTGCACTCTGTGCGGGATGCTGTTTGCAGTGTCATCAAATCTAAAATCACACCAGAGAACACACACGGGAGAGAAACCTTTCAAGTGCAGTCTCTGTGGGAAGGCATTTTCAAAAGCATTTGCTCTCAAAATACACCAGGGAACACACACAGGAGAGAAACCCTTCAAGTGCACTGTGTGTGAGAAGGCATTTGCACAGTCATCAGTTCTTCAGAGCCACCAGAGAACACACACAGGAGAGAAACCCTTCAAGTGCAGTGTGTGTGGGAAGGCATTTTCAGGTTTATCTGCTTTTAAATATCACCAGAGAACACACACAGGAGCTAAACCCTTCAAGTGCACTCTGTGCGGGAAGGCGTTTGTACTGTCATCACAACTTCAAAGACACCACAGAACACGCAAGCATCAGAAGATCCCCAAGAAACCGATTCTGAAATCAGCTTGTGAAAGTCAAAGTGCTGCAATGCGCCCATCCTTCATGAAAAAAGAACCACGAGAAAATCTCAGCTTTGACACTTTAAAAGGTATCAAGGTGAAATATGAAGAGGCGAAGGTGAAATGTGAAGTGACAGTGAAGAGCGAAGAAGTGAAGGTGAAATGTGAAGATGAAGATTCAACTCCAAAAATAGACCTTCACATTATTGGAGGTAATGTGAATCAGGAGGAGAATTCTGATTGTGAGGCAGAGCGAGGCAACTCCCAGCAGTTTGTGGAAGTGGAGGTGTGGGTGGACTTCTTAGACAATATAAAGTCAAAAGGAGACCCGGTAGATGTGTAGTGTAGCAGCGTTGAGTGGTGACCAGGGGTAGCAATTTTGGGTGTACCCACCCAAAAGGAAGTTATCCATCTTGTGCCTCCCAGAACCAGCTACGTGGTTCCAGAAGGGGGGCGTGGCCAGGGCAGATCCTGGAAGGATAAAAGGGGGCGAGAGAGGGAGCTCGAGGCTGTCCGTGGGAGTCTGGATCGTCTCGTCTTTGCTGCTGTCCTCGTCATCACTGCCATCTTTGTCATCCCTTGACATCGCCACTGCTAGATATTTAACCAGCTATCTAGTCAGTCAGCGCCGTGGTTGCTCGGCAGTCAGTGTTGTGCTATGTGCTCGCAATTGAAACTAAGTTATGATAAATAAATAAAAAGATGCCTCTACAGTTTATTGTCTCCGGAGTCATACACTACAGATGTGTAAACTTGAGACAATGAAGCTCCAATAGATTCACTTTTGTCACAGGCCTTTAATGAAAATCAAGTGAAGTTGAACACTCAATTCCTAGGTTCAAACTGCAGGGTTGTGTTTACGCGAGGCTAGATGACTAGGGAGAGTGTGATGGCGAACCTGTGAACCTGTGAACGTGTTAATAAAGAAGATACCCCCTTATAAACCATGTCTCTCTCTACGATGACACTACAACTCGTGTCAGGAGTGGGGTGAAGAAATAACCCACCTATAGTGTCGTCGGAGGATGGGAACGGTGAAACATTCATCCCTCCCGCAGCCCCGGGACCCCGGTTACGAAGTCCGTTGGCGGAGAGAGATATCGGCGGGAGAGCGGCTGCGGATCGGAGGGAGAGCGGCGGCGAATCGGCGAGGGAGGACCCGTTCCCCCATGATCTCGTGTGCCGAGCACGCGGCATGGCCGAGGACCACAGTGTTGAGGAGAGCGCGGGATGGTACGTGAGCCACACCACGGCCAGCGGCGCGGAAATGAGACATGAGGGGACCCTGGCGGCGGTCCCCGTCGGTGCGGGAGAGTGGAGGAGCCCCGGGCGGAGACCACGCATGTGGTGGGTGCCAATTTGCCCTTTGAGGGCTTGGCATGGCTGGCGGGCGCTATTTTGCATAGAGCACAGGACAACGCTGAAGTCGATTGCGCTGCAAGGGGCAATTTCTGGCCTATCATGCGACGCCCACGCGAAATTTCTCCAGCGGAAGCGAGGGGAGGCCATGACCCTCTTCACCCCAGATGGGTGAGACGGCGCTCGACTCCTTTGCGATGGAAAGGCTGTTGGCTCTGGCGCGGGCATCGGGGATCATCCTGCCCTTCTCCGAAGGCATGGGGACCACGTCCTTGAAGGTGGCCCAGGAAATTCAGGGCCACGAGGCCTGCCAGCATTGGCCCAAAGTGGAGGCTCGGCCGTGGCGGGAGGAGGACATGGTTGCTGTGGTGTGCGGCCTGAGGACGCACGGGAGAAGGCCCCCGCAGGTGTATTGGCAATCGGGGAAGCCCCCTTTGCCCTGCCAAGGCGGGGGAGACCAGTGTCAAGGACCAGCTCACGTGAGCTGCGTTCTGGTAAAGGCGGACTCTCCCTTGTAAGGTGGAATTCGAGGGGGTTGTATATGTTGTTTGGGTTGCGTTATCAGTTTCCGATCTAACCCAAAAAAAAACTCTATTATAGATATTGATTACGAAACCCTAAGTGTTAAACCAGCTTAATTGCCTTGGCAATTTGGAGTTTTGTCTAATTTCTCATCACAAACACTCGAAGAGCACCCCCAAGTGGCAGCTGCCTCTGTGTGGCATAAGGTGGCCCTGCACCAGCCTGCATGTGTGCATGAGTCTCGCAGTAGGGGACAATAATTGATGTGTAATCTCAGTTGTGTAAGTTCTGGATAATATTTGGAATTTCCCAAATTTTGATAATGACACCAACATGCAATGACCTATGTATTTTGATTGACACTATATGTTTTACATTCACTGTTAAGCAGACAGTGCATATTTTGGTCAATGTTACTGGAGTAGCGTGGGGTGCCTGCCGGATTTGTACCTTTAACCTCTGCAATAAATAGAGAATGCGCTACCACTTGGCTTCCCTCTGAGTGCTGGTATGCAAGCGTAAATGTTTCTAACTGGTGCAGATGTTCCATTTAGAGGGGTCCACGTTTCACATGCCTAGAGAAGGGAGGGAATGACTGTGGCCGAGAAGACCCGAACCTTCATGTGGAGCGACAGACCAGGTTGCTTCCAAACAGCATTGCGCAGCTGATGAAAAGACAATGCTGCCAGACTGATTCGGACCACCCACACACTGCACACACATGTATCTTGTGTACACACAATGTACATGCAGAGCATACACAGAGCGTACACACAGTCTACACAAACAGTGTATACACAAACACTTTAACAAGAACAACGACCGCTATTTGCCACTAAGTGGCAGTGATGTCACCACAGCGCTTGTGCCAGGCTATGAGCACGTTAAGGCCACGTGAAGTGTCGAAAGCCTGCCGGCAGGAGGTCACAAAGCAGACTCAGGTGCCAAGGGTCGACTGAGATGACTGGCCGATGTACCACCTGTACCCCCTACTGTGCCAACACAGTGTACATAGTGTACACACGCACAGTGTACCCACAAGGTTTACACAAACCAGGTACATACACAGTGTACACACACAGTATGCACATACAGAGTGTATACACAGTAACAAGACCAACGACCGCCATTCGCCACTAAGTAGCAGTGACGTCACCACAGCGCTCGTGCCAGACACAGGTGCCATGGGTTGACTGAGATGACTGGCTGATGCACCACCTGTGCCCCCTATTATGCCCACACAGTGTACACACACACAGTTTGTACCCACACAGTTTGTACACACAGCATGTTAATGTGAAATCGAGGAGTGGTGCAATCCAAAGGCATGAGAGTGCAATCTTAAGGACATGTGAGCATGATAGATCTCAGAGAGAGGCATGGAGAGAGAGGGAGACAGAGTCGTAAATAACAGCTGACATAGGCATGTAGGATGGAAACAATACAGTCAAGACTTTACCTGGTTTATAACGTTCTTCCAATGATTGCTTAGTTTGTACCCATCCTCTCAGTTGAAGTTGTGTCTGTGTTTATATGGATGGCTTCATGAACAAATCTCTGAAGGTAGCTGGTAGATTTGCAGAGTACTTCCGTCTTGGAAAAATTAATTTCGTGTGAGCCCACAGCGTTAAAACAATGAAACAATGATCAGCAACGGCAGAGGTATTGGTCCTACCATGTTTCAGATCTGCCTTGTGTTTATGAACGCGGTCCGAGACATGTTTCGTTTCCCCAATGTAACTGCTGCCGCAACCACAACTCAGTTTGTAGACACCAGGGTATTGCATGTCAAGAATCACATCCTTTACAGATGGGATTAAATCACGGATTTTGTGTACTGTTTTGAAATTAACCTGGATCTTGTGTTTGTTTAAGATTTTGGAAATCTTTTTGGTAACCCCTGTTATGTAAGGTAAAGTGATGGTTTTGGTTGGATCCTCAGAAGGTTGTTTCCGCATGGCTGGGGAGACAGCTTTGCGGATTGTACGGTTCGAGTATCCATTCATCCTGAGGGCTTGGTGTACGTGCTGCAGCTCACTGCTGGTCGGAGATGCAACGGGCACTATGGTGTAGTGTTTTGATGAGGGAATTCTTCTGGGCTGGATGGTGGTGGGAGTCAGGCTTTAGATAAGCATCCGTGTGGGTGGTTTGCCTGTAGACCGAATGTCCCAACGAGCCATCAGGTCTCTTCTTGATCAAAACATACAGGAATAGTTTGCCATCCTTTTCCACTTCCATGGTGAATTTGATAGACGGGTGTATGGAATTGATGTGGTTGAGAAATTGGTTCAGTGCTGGCAGGCCATGTGGCTAGATGATGAACAAGTCATCTACGTATCTCTTCCACAAGGAAGGACGTAGGGTGGATGTTTGGATGGCATCTGTCTCAAATTTCTCCATGAAAACATCCGCTACCACTGGTGATATGGAAGAACCCATTGGGGTACCCTCATTTTGTTTGTAGAATGTACCATTCCAGGTGAAGTATGTGTTGGTAAGGCAGTGCCTTAACAAAGTTGGTACATCTGGATTCAGTCCTTGTTGGACCAAGTCTTCAATGATTGCAATGGTGGCAGGTACAGGTACATTGGTGAACAGAGAGACTACATCAAAACTGATTAAAGAAACCAAGTGAGCCGAGTTAAGTACAGCTGAGGTGGACTTGCCCGTGAAAGGAAGCATGGTCTCAGACATAAATCGGGCCAGTTTGTAGTTGGGTGAGTTAATGGTGGAGACGATAGGACGGAGCGCGGTACCTACTTTGTGGAATTTTTGGAAGGCCATGAAATCTTGGTGGTCTTGCAGCCGAAGGTTTTAGGGAGCTCTGCTTGGTCTGATCGATTAGAGAAGTCGATTTAGTGATATTGTTTTTTGTGGCTTGGCGGTTTGTGGGATCTCTGTTGATTTTGGGATCGCTGCCATCATGAAGAAGGTCCTGAATTTTGTTGTAAGTGGTTTTATCCATGATGACAGTGGCATTGCCCTTGTCGGCTGAGAGAATGACAATGTCATCTCCGGTCAAACAGACTGTTAAAATCCCCCCTGGTGCACTTATGCATATCCCCTTGCGTCTGCGGAAACAACTTGACCGGGAAACGACCGCGGGAGGGATGCTGTTAGTTCCCTCGAAAAAGGCGGTTCGAGGTCTAACTTTAGTGGGTGCACAGACTCTAGTGGCAAATAACCAGCAACCATTTATTCAGGTTTTGAACGCCGGTTCGGAGACGTTCGTTATACAAGCGGGTACTGTTTTAGCTCACTCGTCTGTCGCATGTTGCGATGGGGAAAACGGCGGGACTATGAGAGTTGCGGTGGCTATGGGAAGGAAGAGATGTGATGAATCATGGATTGATGCACTCTGCTCTGAGAGCCCGTATTTATCCGAGGCACTGAGGCTCATGTTGCCTGCGCTTTTAAAGGAATTGTCTGATGTTTTTAGTAAAAGCAAATACGATATTGGCTGCATGTCTCTGTTACATCACCACATTGATACGGGGAACGCCGTTTTCATTCGCCAAAACCCATACAGATTGAGTCCTAAAGAGAAGGACCACGTGCGTCATGCAGTCGACGAGATGTTGGCCGCTGACATCATTTCCCCATCAAATAGTCCGTGGGGAGCCCCCATTGTGCTTGTGAAAAAGCAGGATGGGAGTCTGAAGTTTCGTGTCAATTTCTGCAAACTTAAGGTCTCCGTGGCTGATGCGTACCCGCTCCCAGGGATGGATGACTCCTTGGACGCTTTGCCGGGAGCGCGTTGTCCAGGTTCTGGCAGTTGCCCTTGGACAACAGTTCTAAACCTAAGACTGCGTCCCGTACACCCAAAGGGTTGTTCGAATTTAACCAGCTCCCGATGGGACTCCACTCAGCTCCTGCCATGCTCCAGAGGCTCAAGAAGTTGGTGTTGGCAGGGCTCCAATGGGACGCTTGTCTGATTGACCTCGACGTCATTGTTTTCGGCCGTACGCTCGAAGAACACCTGCAAAGGTTGCGTGTGGTTTAACTTAAAATGCGGACTGCGAAACTCAAACTTAAGCCGCAGAAATGTAATTTGCTGCAAAGGTCGTTTCGGTACATGGGGCACATTGTACGCAAATCCAGGATAGCGACGGACCCAGATAAAACTGCGCACATAGCCAACCATCAAGTCGGTAGGTGAGGTACATAGTTTCGTTGGGTTTGCCTCCTATTATTGACACTTTGTTCGCGGGTTCGCCACAATCGCAAAACCTTTCCATGTCTTCACTGCAAAGGGACAAAAATTTCGATGGGGGGAGGAGGAGGCTGCGTTTGTCACGCTGCGAGACGGTCTGGTCAACGCACCTCCCCTTCGGTACCTTGATTTTTCTTTGCCCTTCGTTGTGGATACAGATGTAGTGACATCAGAGATGTCACTACATCGGGGTAACTGAAGGGGCAGTTACCCCTTTGTGTAAACGGGTTGATGTTACAATAAAAGTGTTGTCTCTAAAGAACGTCTGCGACTCAGTTGGACTCACTACAACTGGTGTCGGAAGTGGCCAACACGCTAGTTTATACAGCTAGCTGTAGACTATGTCTACGCGTCGCAGACCACGTACCTGGGCGTCGGACACGGCTTTTGACGCTGGCGAAAGCCGCCTTCCCGAAGTTGGACCACGATGGCATCGACACGTTGGTCCTGGAGAGATTGCTGGCTAACATTTTATCTTCTCTCTTTCCTTCCCCTTTCGCGGTAATTGTATTTAGTGTACATTTCCTATTGTTCGTTTGTGGTTGTTCGTTATTGTTGCACAGAAAATTTTGGGAGGCATTTTTGTTGGATTGCTGCTGTTATGGTTAAGGGGTTAGTGATCAGCCGGGATGGCTGTGTTTTATAAGGAGGGGTTATGTCGTGACATAAATGGTGTCACTATGGTGTTTAGCGCCAACCACTGTCACAAGCGTGGAACTGTACGTCTTGAGTCTTTCTCTGGCACCAGAGGGGGCATAGTTCTGGTGACGGCCTGAGAGAGGGCAACTAAGGACGTGACAATCTGCGTGAACATGAGAGAGCACGTGACCGGGACAGGGTAGTGGGGGGGGCCCAGAGGGGGCTTGAGGGACACGTAATGCTCGGTCGAGATCCTTCTGGTTCAATCCAGAAGGGGATGTGGCCAAAGGCGGAGCAAGGCCACGCTCGGGAGTATAAAGGGGAAGTCCAGAGAGCGATCGCGGCTGTTCTCTGGAATCAACCCTCGGTGCTACATCTCTTCGATCTTCGGTCTTCACTCGGCATAGTGGGTCAGTCAGAATGTGACTGACTGTCCCGGTTATGTAGTTGCCCTGTTGGGGTCTAGTTAACTTGTGTATGTTTAAGTAGTAGCTGTGTAATATACGTATTGCCTCCAAGTTCAAGTGTGGGTCTCCGTGGAAACTACTACACACACAATGGACAGGAAGGACAATATCAAACGGCTCGCATAATGCGCATGCATAATGTAAGTTGACTAATTAATATCCCCCCCCCCCCCCCCCCAATTTGCGCAAGAGCGCAGAAGTGTAGTCAACACACCTATGCTTCTATATAAGGAACGAAACAGGTGGACTGTTCCACAAATCTGTCGCCTGATGAAGCTGGTTATAATTACTGGCGAAACGTCGTACAAAGATTGTAAATGTTGTAGCTTGGTTCTCCAACATGCCGGTGTGCTGTACTAGGGACGAATTGGCATGTTCTGTTTACCTGACAACCCTTACTAGTTGGCT